GCAAAGTGTAATTCGGCTGCAGCGCCAATCTGTCGCTGGTCGGAATATCATTCTCCACCTTTGCCTTTCCATATTCTTTTCCGTGTATAAGCCAAACATTCTTAGTATTCCTCATGTCTTGGAAAAATTCATTTCTCGCAATTTCAGTGGTAAATTCCAAGCGCATGACGGAGCTGTCCGTTGTCGAAGTATTTGTATGCATGGCAGCCAAGCACTCCCACGAAACTCCCGATTGTTGAGATTTGGGAGGAAAAGTGTCCTGATGATATTGCATCATCGCTTCCTTCATTTTCTCTTCGCTCGCTGCCAGAATGTGCACTTCAGTGATGCTGTTAAAAGGCCGTTTTTTGCGGAGGTCTAGCTTCTCCATGTTCCCAGAATCTGTGTTGAAGTGCTGAACTTCTGGAGCTGTGAGGTTGAGGTTAAGAAAATTCTTGCGAGCTTGCACATCTGTTCTCAACGTTTGTTGGAACTGAGGGTCCAGGTCTCCAAATTCGATTTCCTCTGCAGCAAGGGATTCCAGAAAGTGGTGCCAATTCAGCTCTTCACTTTCGGATCGCTTGGGCGATGGCTCGGCAGCTCTCGCCTGTCTTGCTTTCATCAAAATTTCTAACTCTTCCTTTGTGAAGGTGAGATCTGGTCTTTGCTCTTCCTTAGTAGGCGCCGCCTCTTCCATGGCGAATGGCCTTAGTAGTAAGTGTATCCTTAATTAAAAAATGCCAGGACATGGGAACAATTCTAGGCTGGGGGAACCCCACGGGCCCACAGCATGTGCCATGACATGGAAAATGATATGAAAAAACTGACCATGCGCAATGGGCCAGTCCACTACTATAGCCCGCCGTCGTTTTGCAGCAGCGGCTTGTGCCAGATGCCTCTGATATTTGGATGTGCGTGAGAACCCTGTATGCCCCCAAGGTCTGGCAATTTCAATAGGGATAAAGAATGGGGTACCCAGGCTGTCCAGGCAAGCAGAAACGATATGAAACAATTTTTACACCACTTGGTTTTCGGATACAGTAGCCAAGTTTGAGACATAGCCACATCGATATTTGAATCCCAAACATAGAACGAACATAAAGCCACTTTTGATGTGTCAACAATATACTGCTATACAGTATTATCATGTCAAGTTCGCATCCTATAACCACGTATAACATGTTGTGCAGCCTCATGTTGCCAGGATGGGATGAAGCCAAGTCGCGCTCATCCTGGATCATCGTGCCGTGTTTGCCACCTGAAGCCTGTCACTCGCATGGAAAACCAACGCTTTCGTGGAAATGCTTTGGGTCGTTTTTTTGAAAAACATGAAAGCAAAAAAATGCTGCTAAATGTTGAACCGACCGTAAAGATATTGAAATTGTTTCGTCGAATTTTGCAGGTAAAACTGGAAATTGATAATTTGTCCAGTTAAAATTAAAATAGTATTTTTTCCCCAGCAATAATAAGATATCATTTTTGGTATAGACCGTTGATGAGCGATAGGAAACGGAATTCTCGTGAAATTCAGCAGTCAAAGAGAGAAAGTTCAGTCATCAACCATGAATTTGAGCCAATAGAGATTGACCTCAGCATCAAACATGGGGATTCAACAATCAGCCAAAATGGATCAAAGCGACATCCGAAACGCATGCATCAATGGTTTTAGGTACCAAATTGGATTTAGTGGAAAAACCATTGTTGGTGCATGGTACTCTTTGGTAACAGCTATGGACAGTCCCTTTTTTTTGTAATCAAATTATCTAAAAATATGCCATTTTTCCGTAGCTTTGTTGGAGTGTAAACCAGTGTTGGTCCAAACCATTGTTGGTCCATGGCAGGTTTTCATGGGTTTTCGTAGGTTTGAAAATTTCGGCCAGAGAGCTGGTCCAGGGGGGCAGCCCGTGGGATAATGTGCTGGCCTGGCAGTTGTTTTTTCAAAGCTGCAACCAGCAACCAGCATCAACATTGTTTGAACAGAACATGAAGGAAACACGTTTTTGAATATAGACTCCCATAATTCACATCGACCCTGCCAAACAAGGAGTTGGAAGATTGGTTTCCACTAAAATGTTGTTATTTTCGGGGTCTAGAGTCTAGGTTAATTTTCCAGATGGTAAATCCCCATGTTTTCTTGGTTAATTCCCATAGAAATAGATGATTTACCTCGAAAAAATCCAATGATTTTCATATAGCTGTTCCATAGCTGGTGAAATTACCTTACCTTGAAATCCCATGGGAGGCACCGATGTTGGCAGATCCACCGAATTTCGGCACCGAGGTCTGGGATCAAATCGCTGTGCTGCTTTCCACACGGGGGCCACCTGTTCTGGCTGTGCGCCGGGAAGCAGCAAGTTTCAGCCGCCTGTTCGCATCCGCAGTGTTTCTTAGGAATTAAAAAAAACTGGTTAAAACAAGGAAAAATTGATTTCAAAAAATTAAGGTCAGTTTTCTATATGGTTTTCTCTGAACATATTTGTTTATCCCCAAATCCATGGGTGAATCATCAGTTTCTCTATTAAAAATATTGTATGGAAGTATGGCAATATGGCCCATTGACAAACCCGCTATATTTTATGTTGTTTTGTAATTGATACTGCAGAGTACGCACGAGTATCTCCCTTTTTTTGGGCCCCAACTCGTTCTTGTAATCCAGAACCCAACTATCAGCTTTTCGCGGGGCTTAGGCGGGCTCATGGGAAAAATCGACGAAGAGTGGCTGTGTTTTTTGTTGCTGCTGGAGGATTATGTACGGACAACACATGACAATAATGTACTGGATCTATCTGAGCAACCATCACAACTCGCGGATACTAAAATATGTACTGGCTGGACATTGGTTTTCAGAAAGTGCAAAAAACTGAGGTTAGCGATGGGACCTTTCCAAATAGCGATACCCCATGTTGAATTCAATAGTTAATAATTATATTTCATGTGTGTTGATTTCGTCAAGCGCTCGCATCGGTGATAGACTTGGGCATGCTCAGGGTTGAAAGAAAAGGAAAGAAAAAGGAAAGGAAAAGAAAAAGAACAGGACAGGAACAGAAAAAGAAACGAAAAGAGAAAGGCAAAGGAAAGAGAAAGAAAAGGGAAAGGAAAGAGAAAAGAAAGGAAAAGGAAAGGGAAAGAACACGAAAAAAAGAAAACGAAAGGAAAATGACAGAAAAAGGGGAAGGAAAAGGAAAAGAACAGAAAAGGGAAAGGAAAAGGAAGGGAATAGTTTTACAAGCACATGATAATCCACCCGCCTGATTCTGCAAAAAAAGCGGGTCCGTTTTAGCGATGCCTTAGCGATACCCAAGCGATCCCCAATTCTCCCAATGGCAGAGGACCCCCAAATACTTGTACTTCTGCTTCTATACTACTACTACTACTACTACAACTACTACTACTACTACTACTATTACTACTACTACTACTGCTACTACTACTACTACTCCTCTTCCTCCTCCTACTCCTACTCCTGCTCCTACTCCTACTCCTACTACTTCTACTACTACTACTACTACTACTACTAACTACTACTAACTACTACTACTACTACTACTACTAACTACTACTACTACTACTACTATTACTACTGCTACTACTACTACTACTGCTACTACTGCTACTACTGCTACTACTGCTACTACTGCTACTACTGCTACAACTATTTCTACTACTACTACTACTACTACTCCTCCTGCTACTACTAGTAGAATGAATAGTACTACAATATAATATCTACTTCAGTACAAAGATACTAGTAGTACATACAAGTATGAATAGTACTACAAATACAATTTAATATCTACTTCAGCTGTGTTTAGCCTAAGCGATACCCCTTGTAAATCAATACTGCGCAATGATGGTAGAATTGCTACGAAACTGTGGTTAGCGATGGGACCTTTCCAAATTATGCTGATGTCCTTTTCATGAACAAGGAGTTTTGACAGCCGCACATCTGTATCCAAGATAATTATTCCATCTGCCTGAAAGTGTTTTTTCATGAAGACCACTGTAGTAGGGCCCCCCACAAGCGATAGTGGCAGAAAATACTGGAAAGTGATATGGCTCGCCCAAAAAGCGATAACCGATACTAGGAGCTCAAATGTAAATCGACTGGCAAATGACTCTTTTTTTGATGGGTTTATGTTTGGAAATCTTGACGGAGGAATGGATAGATATATATATATATACATAATCTTATCCAGCTAGTGATTGGTTGTTGTTTTCTTTGCGGTTGAGTGCGGGTATTGTATCTCAGGGCAGATACGGTTTTTTGACCTGATTGACAGAAAATACATAAACGGGATGAGCTCAGAGCGCGCAACCGAGAATCCATTGTTTGTCCTGTTGGTAAATCCACCATTTGAGGAATCTGGACCATGGCAAGGAACCCGATTTTGCAAACCACAAAAGACTGACTTCGACCTGTGACTGCAGCCTCTAAAGCACAGAGTTTTGTTCAAAGCAAGTTAATACTAGACAAGAAGATACAATATGACTATATATCAAGTCTATAACAATTCTTAGAGCTGAGTACCTCTAGATGAAACCAACTTACTCATTACCCTGGGTCCTGCTAACCACATGGGGTCCGCTGAGCAAACGTGATAGGTTACCAAATGTTACATACATTTGGAGAAATATAATCGATATTTTAAAAAAGTACCACCCCTTAGCAATCAACAATGACCTGAGCATATCTGAGCATGTATCGAACATATCACACGGGGGAAAAGCAATACATACCCTTGCAGCTGCATCTTCACACCACCTCCATCCAACGAAGCCATAGATTTGATGGTAAAAAATTTGATGGTGATCTTGTTTGAACTATGTGAAGTTCAAAAGTCACTGAAATTAGATCATCAATTTCAACACGTTATACATGGACATAACATAGTTTCAAGTGCTTCTCTGTGAAATTGTTTCGGCTCCACATCCTGATCATCTGCCCGTTGAAACATGCATTGGAAATATCATGCCAATTCTGCTACATGTGGTGGTGTACACCTCTCAGGTGGTATTTCTTCGGACTGGATTGCGAGGAATGTCCACCTATGGCTCTTCAAATTCTGCAGATTTCATTGATGGCACCTTGGCTTTGCTGCCTTGATGAGGATGATTCATCCTTGCCAATCGGCCAAAATTTTGAGATAGGTTGAAACCACACATCCATGTGTCATATGTATATACACACATGCATACATCATCATACATCTATGCAGACATGATCCATACATACCTACCTATCTACCTATGTACATGTACATATGATATATTGCATATATATATATATATTATATGTTTGAAATAAGACGTCGACAAAAACAAAAAACGTTGCAAATCATCATTTTTCCCCAAACATTGCCATTGACTGGAGGCCCATACCCCAAGTTTGGACAACACCCCATAGAATTGTTGTGTCTTTACCTATTTATGCCAGTATATATACATATGTATATATATATATATCGGTGTTCCTTTATGTTTGTTGTTCTACCGGTTTGTTGTTTTTTAATACTCCAACTATGATGCTTAGATATATATATATATCCCATTATATGCTGATTTTACGCCGATTATATCCTTCTAAAAGGTTCGTTTTGCACCAGAATTCGTTTTAGTGAAACTCCCCCAATACTTGGTAAGACTATCATTGCCTACCCTTCTTGATATATCCGCATTCTAACCCATTTTACCACCCATGTGTATTTTATTACACCATTTTTACTATTATCTTTGCAGGAGATTCCATTTTTTTCCTCAATGACATCCCATAAATGAGTTGCATAAACCATCCAAACTTGTATCATCGGAGTGTATTGCACATTGCTATCATACGCCATCCATTTTTTGACATTATACTATTGCATTTTTCTTGCACAACAATAATCCAAACAAGCCAAATTCTGGGACATTATCATATTGTGCCCCGCTTGATGGGGTAAAACAAAAAGTACAACCATAATTACATACAATTATTACTGTACTTGTTTTACATCACGATTGTCCCATGATTATCCCAACATGACATTCAAATCATGTTTTATACCACAATCCAACAGACATTGCAAATTTCAGGTGCCTGAAATGCAGATACTGCACCATATAGGGCCATATTTGGACATGCGTTTACATCTACCTTACACAGACCTTGCACATGGTAGGTACCTCCAGTTTACCTGAAATATCCCCTGAATGGTCCAATTTGTTATTCAAATAAAAAAATATTACCCTGTTGTATACCACAATTGTACTTGGGGGTGCGGTTTGGTTAATAAGTGGATGTTTAACCATAGTTGTACTGGTTCCACTGATAACACCAACCACACCCCAAGTACCATAAGTATCCCATGTATCACCTGGTTAAGTACCAATTACTAGGTCTGGTCCTGGTCTGCTAATTATTCCGTAGTGATATTACTCAGTTTTTTGTTGCTTGCATGAGTATCCCATTTTATCATTGCTGGAATTATAAGATCTAATACCATAATTATCATAATACCATAAGCAATTTATCCCAATTATACCATAAATACCATAAACTGCCATAAAATGCCATCATTATTTTATCATTATTCGTCATAAAATACCATGAGTTCATCCCATCTGATTACCCCATCCATGAACATTTTCCTATTGTTGAGCCATTTATCTCTTAAGTATTTCCTCGTACTCTAGACAATGATACATGTAAATCTCCAGAATAACAAAATTTCATCCTGTCCCATTAGAAACAATGATGACTAATTATTCAGCATTCAAAAATATCATGTTCCCTCATAATACCATTTTACATGGGATAACAACTACATCATCGTATCCATAACTGTCCACAATTATCCCACAATTATCTCTCAGTTATCCCACAATTATCCAATAAGTATACCGTTTCATCATAATATAAACAATGACAATTATCCATAAATCCTGTAATTATCCCTTGTCATCATGATAGATCCGCAATGAAGGTTTATTTTTTAATAATAAATCCATATTTCATCATTGGTCATAAACAATGAAAACTAGTTATCAATTACATCATCCTATCCATATCCAAATTTATCCCATCATTCTCCCATAACATCCATAGTGTCATCATCAAATAAACAATGATAACTCTCCGATGTATAGCTAGATGCTTCATAATAGTTCATCAGAATGTTTTCTAGATATTGTGATAGTTATGCTTAGGTAGTTTAGACGATAAAAAAATAATTCTGATAGTTATGCCAGTTATTAAAGATCAATTAAAATTACCCTCCGGTTATTTAACATGGCCATGGAAAATGGCCCATTTATAGATGGTTCACACAATTTGTTTTTTTTGATTTTCCATGGCTACGTGAAATAACCAGATGGTACCAGATCAATTAAAACTAAATTACCTATTGAATCCTATTGACCTGGTTTTCCCGGCACTGGCAGGGGATCATCCAAGTGGTCGCGACGATTTTGCGCCCTGGCCACTGAAAAAAAGTCAGGCGACCCGGGAAATAAAAACATGAACTGTTGATGATGTTGATCATAAATGATATTCATATTTTTGTATATTACACTTATATCTACTGCATTCATATAGTTCTAATATACAGTATATGTACATAACATATGTTTTTTTGCAGTTGTCCCTAACTCTTCTTGATCACCGGCGCCTTAGGTTGTCAGTCTCGAACAAGGACAGCGCCTGGAATGAGTGTCTCGGAGGAGACGAAGCGGCGAAGCTTTTTCTGCTCCTTTTTTTGGGTTGCTGCTAAACCCTTGTTGGTTGATGATTAGTTCGGGGATGTTCGGGGATTTAGTGGGAAACCATCATAAATGCTGGGTCGAGAATATCAACATATGGGAAGATCGTTGATAAATGATGGTTAGTTGATGGTTGGTTGATGATTATAGGCAGGGGGTTATATCATACTATCCAAATCTATCCAATATCTTGGGGATGAGCAAATCCCGTTCTCAACTAACCAGTATACAGGGACGACATAGGGTTTTGAACACTGTTCAAATGGAACAATGAGGTACTTCGCACTTCACCGTATTTTCTTGGTTATATACTTATTTAATCTTATTTAATATGCATGAATATACCATAATATACCATCCCCCAAGTTTTTTCCCCAAACTTGGGATTGTCGAAATATGATGATCCCCGCCGTTCTTGATGGTTGACCCCACTTTTGTTCACCCCAGAGATTTCAACAGGGTAGGTTTAGTCCACTGGAGTGAGCCACATTCACTGGGTGAGCCAAGAAGTGTCATGGAACATAAGGGAGATGACCAGCTTCACTCACCGTTCGATGGTCGATTGGGAGCTCCGCTTGGGATGGCATCCTCACAACTCTGGTTATCACAGTTACCACCCACTTACGAAGATTGAATCCTGTGAAATCTCATGAGATGCCACTTTCTTTAAAGCCTATGGATGTTATGTATGATCTCATGTTAGATCCCATTTTAAAACGTCATTCTCCCACCACAACGATGCACACAACGATGCACACAACGATGCACACCCCAGCCCTAGCGGCTATAGCGCCAACTTGTCTCGGTCAGGCATTCCCTCGCAGGTCCCATCATGTTCTCGCTGCTTGGAGCGACTGGACCACCTTTTCAATGGGGCATCCCCAGTCACCATGGCTGCGTATGGATCAATAGCTCTAAACGTGGAGGGATGATCCTTAAATCGCTATGCTATTTTGGTGTTCACCAGAGGGTTTTGACAATTTTTGACCCATATCCATCCATATCCCATATCATCCCATATCCATATACTCATGGTCCAATGACTTGGATGATTTGGGGGTACCCGCAACAAATTGAAAATGGAAACCTCACGTCGCGATGACATGGCCATGATGGTTTGGGCGGTGGGGCAACTATCCCAAAATGGCAAAACAGTTTAGATATGTTTAGATTAATGAATGGTTATAATGCATCCAGATTCCCATGAAATCCGATTGAAAACCAGTAAACACCCATTAAATCCAATTTCAACAGCCACAGACATTGTCATAATGTATCCAGATCTAGGGCCTTGAATTAAACAGTTGATGAGAAGATCGGGTTTCAGCAACTGGTGAGCGGGTGAAAGTGGATGGATTTCGAAAACAAATGGAGGAATACCAACCTAGCAAGCAGAAAACAAATGCGTTTTATCAGGATATCTAAGGTTTGCACTACTTTTTTAAAACAAATGGCATAGCTCTCGCTGGACTAGGTTGCTAGGTTGCTTTTCACTTTAGTGAATTTACTGTTGGGTACCGATCCCAGAGTATCCCCCCCCTTTAACCCTGGAATATTTGGGGGGGGTAAGGCAAGAAATTTCTGAGAAATATTTCACCTGACCACGTGAAATATACCCCCCCACGTGTTTTTTGGGCTTCGAAAAAACGTGGGGGGGGGTCCTCCGGATGCCACATTTTAACCCAGAGATGGTATGACACACCCTTTCATTTTGCGTAAAACGAGCGCGCGTCTTCTACACGCCGACGCTGTTCCTTTTTGGACCTTTTTAGTCCTTACGCGGGTAGGGTCCACGCGCAAACACACAACTAGGTAAATGGTAACTGCCGGTTTCCAAGAAACTAAATAAGAGAGTGAACTTGCCAAACAGCCTTCAGAACATGACATTCAGCCTTGAATTCAACCACGCCCAGAGACCATTATAGACCATATTTTTTTTAGCTGAAATATTTCACTTTAGGGAGGTGAAATATTTCTAGGTGTTGTGGGGGGGGGAGACCCCCCCCCCCTAAAGTGAAATATTTCAGTTTTTTCCCCCCCCCCCCCCCCCCCTAAAGGGAGGGGGACCCCAGAGTAAAAATGGGTGGAAACCAATTGCCAGTGCGGTTAGAACCTGAACTGATTGGGATAAAAATCAGTCACAGGGAGCTGCAAGGTAGTTTGCAGCCTTCAACAGCATTTGATCACATTTGATCCATCACCGGAGGTGGTCCACAGCCCATTGTGGCTGGGAAAAGATTGAAATTGGGAACATCTGACGAAACAAATGTGGATTAAGTGGTAAATGAAACCTTCTCTGAATCCGAGAATTCAATTTGTTACATGTATATGAAGGTTTTTCTAAAAAATGGGTACCCCAAATCATTCGAGTCATTAGACCATGTTAGTATTGAAAACCTATGGTTTTGGGTGGCTTTGGGGATCCGGAATTTCATGGAAACCAGTACAGACACTGAAAGGTCGATGATTGACGCTCCATGTGATGCGCTACCAGGGGCAGCTGGTTACGTCTCTGATGAGTAACCTTGGAGTTGATCATGAAATTTTACCCTGCCTTCCACCAGAAGTTCGCTAAATGGAGGATATTTGGCTTGAATCCTGTGATATGTTCCAGTTCTGATGGATGATTCTCCAATCTCCAGGACAATCCTAAAATAATCCACGTGCAGTTTGTGCTTCATTGCAATGTCTGAGCTCAGGTTTTTTCGCACCCTTCAGACACATGCGGTTCTATCCAAATTGATGATTGAGCCCTTCCCGCAACGTGCCGCTTGGTGGACAAAGGCCGCATGTTTATGGTAGGTAGATATGTATATATGTATATATATGGGGGGTTCCATAAATGGTGGTACCCCAAAATGGAGGGTTTTTAACGGAAAACCCATCTATAAATGGATGATTTGGGGGTGCCCCCATTTTAGGAAACCTCCAAAATTATATAATTATATATATATGTTTTTTTCTATTTATATTATATATATATATATATATGAGTCCGGACTCCGGATCCCTGCCCCCCCCAATGGTATGGTTCCCCAAGCTCACGCTCTCGGGAACACGGGACACGGGACCATACATACATGCATGCATGCATGCATGCATCCATGCATCCATCCATCCATCCATCCATACATACATACATACAGACACACACACAGACATACATACCTATCTACCTACCTACCTACATACCTACATACCTACATACCTACGTACCTACGTACCTACGTACCTACATACACACGCAAATACATACATACCTACCTACCTACATACATACATACAGACACACACACAGACAGACAGACAGACAGACAGACAGACATACATACCTATCTACCTACCTACATACCTACATACGTAGATACCTACGTACCTACGTACCTACGTACCTACATACACACGCACATACGTACATACGTACATACGTACATACGTACATACGTACATACATACATACATACCAACATACCAACATACCAACATACCAACATACCAACATACCACCACCACAGGCCACAGCGGGGGGGGGACCAGAAGAACCATACCACCACCACAGGCCACAGGGCGGGGGGGACCATGGGGGGAGGGGGGGGGGCTTGGGAGTCCTGGGTCATATATACGGATGAAATTTCAGCCTTTTCCTCGAAGGATCCTTTTAGACCCTCGGGCTGAAGCTGATTTTGCCATTCAGTCAGATTTTGCCATTATAACCAGGGCAGGCTCAAGGATTGTTCCCATGGTTTTTCGGTTTTAAAACGATAGTCTGGTGGGATTTACCCACTATTCAGGCAGATTTCGGGTGGATTTTCCCGACCGGCGTGGTTTTGATGTCTCTTGAATAAAAGTGCTTCGTAGTTAAAACGCTATGCTCAAAAAGACTTCAAACGGATTTTTGGACTCGGGCGGATTTTAAGAACTTGAGCTCGGGCTGAAATTTAAGTCTGGGGAGGCCCTATAATTATGTATATATATATAATATGAGAGCCCACATCCCCCGGCCAGATGGTTCCCCCTCCCCTGTGGCCTGGGGGTTCCCAACAACAACAGTTCTACGTGGGACGTGTTTGCAGCTGCAAGTGCTTGATGTCCAGTTCGTAGGAAGTACATGGAGAGTATTTCGGGAGAGTTTTGTTATATGGGCACGCTATGCAATGAGTCGTGTATAGGTACGCTGTGAGACATGTGTAGGTAGTATGTGTATGTGTATGTAGGGTGTAAGCAGATATAGGTAGTGATGAGGCAATGTATCTTCTACACATAGGTATTTAATGTTAGGTGGTGATTTGTGTATAAGTTTAATATATATATATATGTATATATATGATGTCCTTGTAGGTATGTGTATATATATATATATGTATACACAATGAGTGGTACACCATGTGTGAGGTACGCTGTAGGCAGTACATAAGCAGGTTTTGGGTAGTATGTGCTAGATTCTGCTAGATTTAGACTGATACGTCAGAAATATACAGCTAGACAGGGTCCAGTGACGAGGTTGTGGCTCTCAAATGCTGAAACAACGTACAATTGAGAGGCCGTGCTTCCATGTTGTAAATAATAGTGTGCAAATGGGACCTAATGCTGCAAATAGCTTGCAAATGCGAGGTTTGCGGAGGGCAGCGCCCATGTCAGATAGAATGTCAGAATAGATGCCAGAAAGTACGTCAGAATAGATGCCAGAGAGAATATCAGATAGAATGTCAGAATACGGTATATACATATTTGTATATATATATATATGCTGTATTATATCTAATATATACTTTCAGATGGTATGTCAGAAACTATGTCAGAATAATGTGTCAGGGTGAAGATCACTCGAAGAAGGTAATTTAATGGAAACTCATTTTCCAACCCCCGACTCATCGCAGGCTCTATCTTACTTTGGCGGTGTGTATATAGGAGTTTCCTTAAAATGGTCGTACCCTTAATTCATTTGTTTTGATAAGATGTTCAATTATAAACCATCCATTTTGATCCATTTTGGGGATCCGCCATTTTTGGAAACCCCAGATGTAGCTTTTTTTACATGACCAGCAACGTGCCGGGCCCCCATGTTGAGGCATTCAATGAATTGGGACCTTTGCTCTGGATCTGCACCATCAGCCAGGCGTGGACGGAGACCGAGCAGTTCGAACTGTGGGTGGATTTGAACCATTTGATCATGCATGTTTGTATGGAATGTATGAGTTGTTGGAGTTCCCATTTCCCATGACGATGGATGGATCTGGGAGAATGATCTTTTTGAGGGTATTGGTTTCAATGCGCTGGTGCTTCGACGATTCGAAGGAAAGATCGCAAAACGATTGAAGGACGGAAAGGTCCAAATGAAGGCTCGGTTTGGTCATTATCGTCCAGTCTCTTTGGATGATGTCCTTTCGATCACCCAGGTGCTCCCATCTGTTTTGTACCACGGAACTTTCTCCGACAGGGCCGATCAAATTGATAGAACAGGACTCTCATCAATGCAGCGCTTCAATTTGTATCTTTCAGGCATTGGTGATTACCAACTCCTGTGCAGCCATCACTCTGCAGAGTTCCCTATGTTCAATGGCTTGTTGCGGACTGCAGGTGTAGTCCGCAGAGACCTTAGGTCAGGTTTCGTACTCATTTTGGAGCTTGTCCAAAACTGGGGACTCCCCCCAAAATACCGTGGTTTCAACATGTTTAAACTGAATTCATCTTCGTAAAAAAATGTTTGGAAATGTATAACAAATCATTTTTCGCGTAATCACATGTAAATGTTCAGATATTATACCAGTAGTACCGCACAAGGCGGTGGCGGAAGTTTCAAAAATAGGAAACCTATAGGAGAGATTGGCTGTTGTGAATCAGGGATGGCAGAGCGAATCCACTGATGGACCGAAAGGTGCTTGAGGTCTCCCCTCTTTCTCTCTCTTTCTCTGACTATCTACTTACCTACCAGCTTATCTTCTATGTATCTATCTATCTATCTATCTATCTATCTCTCTCTCTCTCTCTCTTTGATCTGTCTAGCTGTCTACCTGTCTATCTATCTATCTATCTATCTATCTGTCTATCTGTCTATCTGTCTACCTGTCTATCTGTGGTGCAGTGTCATTCAGTGTAATGTAGTGTAGTGTAATGTAGTGTAGTGGAGTGTAGTGGAATGTAGTGTAGTGTAGTGTAGTGTAGTTGTAGTTGTAGTTGTAGTTGTAGTTGTAGTGTAGTGGGGTGTAGGGTAACGTAGTGAAGTGTAGTGGAGTGTAGTTGTGTAGTCGTAGTTGTAGTTGTAGTGTAGTGGAGTGTAGTGTAGTTTAATGTAGTGTAGTGTAGTGTCATTTAGTGTAGTGGAGTGTAGTGGAGTGTAGTTGTGTAGTTGTAGTTGTAGTGTTGTGTAATGTAGTGTACTGTAGTGGAGTGTAGTGTCGTGGAGCGCGTAGTGTAGTGCAATGTAGTGTAGTGTAGTGAAGCGATCTGAACCTCCAAAAGTTGTCCGAACCCCCTGGTGTTTTTAACAGTTTAAATGTGCTTCGCGCCACAACGGCGTGCACTTTTTCAACATCTCAACTGCCAAAAGTGGTCCGGAGCTGGTGTGTTTTGTACATTTTGACTTCGAAATGTGCTTCGCGCCACAACGGCGTACACTTTTTCGACATCTCAACTGCCAAAAGTGGTCCGGAGCTGGTGTGTATTGTACATTTTGACTTCGAAATGTGCTTCGCGCCACAACACCGTGCACTTTTTCGACATCTCAACTGCCAAAATGTGCTTCGCGCCACAACGGCGTACACTTTTTCGACATCTCAACTGCCAAAAGTGGTCCGGAGCTGGTGTGTTTTGTACATTTTGACTTCGAAATGTGCTTCGCGCCACAACGGCGTACGCTTTTTCGACATCTCAACTTATAAAAATGGTCCGGAGCTGGTGTGTATTGTACATTTTGACTTCGAAATGTGCTTCGCGCCACAACGGCGTTCAATTTTTTATCTCTCATCTGGCCAGCTGGCTCCGCACTCGCCGCTTTAGCGAGCCTACTTTTCGACCCTCCTGAGCCACAAATCATTGGAAAAACACAGTGAATCGCGACTTTCCTACCTTTTCGCGCATCTGCATCTTCTTTCTTCTGACTCTTTCTCTTCTACTCTTCTCTCTTCTAATCTTTCTCTTTTCTCTGCCTCTTCCCTGCTCTGCTTTTCATCTGTCCATATTGTCGGATGTTTGACTTCTAAACTTCCTTCGATTAACATTACTTTAAAAGTGTAGTGTGGCCACATACTGCTTAACAGTCCCGGGACCACCTTTCTGTGGGCTGTGAAGCTAAAACTTTCGAATGGATGTTTTCTGTGTAGTATGGTGGGAAAATATTGAAAATAATGAAACATATCCATTGATTGTTGGTTGGCTGTTGACTTCATTTGCGGCGATATATATATATATATATATAGAGCATCCAAAAAGGCTACAGTACAGCACCTAAACGCAGTAACTGCGTTAATTAACTATAACTAACCCATTTGCCAACATGTAGGTACAGAGCTACCAAACTCGGCTACCCAGGAAACCAATAATTAATGCATATCGCATATCTGGGTTCAAACCCCCAACTCCGGGATATATGAAGGGATTGCAATGCCCCCTGCATCCTCCAATGATGGCGCCCCGATAACCAACATATATTCCAATATCATCGCAACAAGAATCATATATATATATATAAATATATATATATACGCATATTATATTTCCAGCAAAATCCAATGCTAAAATGCTGTGTTGAATCTTTTCTGATTTGTTTTTTGATGGAACATCATCCATTTAGTTTGATGATTTTCCCACCAAAACATCCAGGCATAATTCGGGGATTTCCCAGCGGCCCCTCATGTTTGATTATCGGAAGGTATTGTATTCCCATTATGCCACCATTTTTGTTGGTTCTCAACTTTTGATGGTCGAATCCCTATTATTATCATCATAATTGGTTTTAAAAAGCCCATTAGATATCCACAATATTCCCATCATCGCTGGTGGTTCTACCATTTTGGACCTTTCGGAGGCTAAATTTTCAGCTCCTTATATAGCCATTAAACCGCTCGATCTACATCCATCATATTCCAATGACTTCACATGATATAAACATCAAACCGGTATAATCCTCGGTTTGCATCCATGATATTCCCATCATATCCCATTTACATAGCCATAAAACCACTATCATTGGCTGTTTTCCAGGATTGTAATACCCATAAAACCACTATAAAACCACTATTAAAAAAAACATATACCTATAATAAGTTTATCATGATATTCCCATCATATCCCATAAACCCATCATATCCCATGGATATTCCCATCATATCTTCGGCTGTTTTTCCGGGGGAGAACATTAAAAAATAAACGCCGAACCGCTAGGTGGTCTTCGCCCCCTGTTTGTTGCCCCTGACGTCCTGCCTGATCCCCCTGCACACGGATGCTTGTATGGGCTATACCCCATTTTCAGACACACGCATCAAATGTTAGATATACAAAGTTAGCTGTATAATGTTCGATACATATATATATATATATATGTTTATTTTTTATTTATATATATAGAGAGAATGATGTATATATGCATTTGACAATATATATATATATATACAATTGTGTATAATTGTGTATAATGTGTTATAATATTATATCACATACGTTTCTATTTTAAATGTAAGTGCAATTGTGTGTTACATACAATATGTACGGGTATGCAAATGTTCATGCAGAACGACGCTGTTCGCATTTACCATGTTGACATGTGTTTATTGTACTATCCGATGTTTTTATGCTGGTGGCTAATAGCTGAGTTGGGCAACCTTGGCTTGTTTGGGTCAGTGTTGAATTGTTGGCCATTTAGATATGGATAAGCCACCTGATTTCAAAATTCACCAAAGGGTAACATTTCACAACTTAGTTATCCAAAATTTCAAGTGATTGAGGGGTTCAACATGCTTCAACTATTGATGTTTCAAACATATGCAAGCTATGATTCGTTGAGCATCTCATTGAGCCAGAAGTTCCCCATGGCCCTGACGTCTGAGGAAGGTGACTTGATGGCATACCACCTCCTTGAGCTACCTGACGCGCAGATCATGTAAAAAAATACGTCATAAACATGATAAACATATATATATATATATTGAGGAAAAAATCAACCCCAGATTCACTACAAAAATATCCAGTGCCCTTGGGCCATCCAGAAAAAGAACCTTAAATTTCACTACAGAAGTTATCAACCAACATGTGAACAAGGCCCTACAAAAGTATTATGGAAATTTAAGGCTATTTCAAAAAATAAAACTAGGCTGTAAAACCCTCAGACTTTTGTAGGAACAGTTTTTCTAACTGGGACATTCTTTTGTAGTTTTTTTTCCTGACTGACTCCACTTTTGTAGTTTTGTGTTCTAAAGTCAGATTTGTATCTACAAAACCTGGGGCACAGGTTACCCTGGGTAATGGCAACCCCCGATATTTTCATAATATTCCATTGGAATTTGCGATTGTTTAGGGATCTATATTTAAACAAAACCGCCAGTCACTAATAGTCACTCATACCAATATTCCCTGAAAGGATTTATATCCCCACTATGATCTTGGATGGTGAAAAACGCACTCCCAAAATGGGGATGGCTCAAAACATGTCAAAACTTAGCTTACATTATATCATCATTATATCATTATCACATTATACCTATTACCAATTTTAACATTGCCTAATCATAGATTACCCATAGATTAGCCATAGATTAACCCAGCTTTGCAACCCAACAGCATACCTGAATCTTCCACCTACGTCTTTTTTCAGACCCTGTGCCAAAGTCCTGTTTTTTCAGTACCCAGAAAACTTTTCAGGACCTACTCTCAAATTCAGGACCTGGCCATTTTGGGGTATCAATGGTAATGGCAATCATTGGGTGCAAACATGTGAAACCAACATTTGGTGGATATTCAAGCCATTGGCATTGATCCACGCAAATAAAAGCACTCCCAGCCCAAACTCATGGCAAGGCAGGATCAGAATATAGTATATTCCAGTAAGTATGTCAGAATAGATGCCAGATAGGATGCCAGAAAGAATGTCAAATAGAATCTCAGAAAAGAATGTAAGATAGTATGTCAGAACATATATGCCACATATACGTCCAGATGATATGTCAGAAACTATGTCAGAATAGTGTGTCAGGGTGGGGATCGCTCTTAGTAAGGCAATTTTGAAAATATATTTCAGGTTCGGAATTTTCAAACTGTTGTCCTTCAGGCGCCGAAGCTCCCGTTGAAGGTCAGCATCGCCCCATGTCAACTGGTCCAGTCCCACTTCCATTTCAACAAGTCCAACTTCATCGATTAGGGTGTTGGTTGAATGGACTTGGGACTCTAGCTGGCACGGCATCCCTTGTAACCCTGTAGACACTGTAGTGGGCAAAAAGATTGTAACACACAGAATCAGCATCATTTTGATCAGGCATTCTTTTTGCTAATCCTTTCTCCCTATTACGAAAAATACCCCCAAATGACAAAAACTAGGTGCGATTTCCAATTTTGGGAAATGTCAAATTGGTTAATCTGATTTTTAATTGATCCCCTTGAGGAAACAATTTTAAAATGAAGGTACCATGTGAGGGTTTCACCCACAAAGAATAAACAACTAGTCAACACCGGGGTGTCTTTTATTGGGGTCCGTCCTTTAAAATTGTCAAATTTAGTTTTTTTAATTCAGGTGTTGGTGTTTTATTTGATACTAGGCGAAAGCTTCGAAATCCTATTCTTGGCAGTATTCTATTTAAAGATTATTTTCATGGATTTTGAAATTAGAAACAAAAAACGGTTTAATCCCTTCCCCCTGTTGCTAAACAGTCGCCCCTTCACCCACCCACCCAAATAACAAACACCTGGAGGAGTTTTTAGTATTGGGGGGGTCTTTAGTATTAGGGTACGAAGCTTCCCCCTAATACTGATAAAAAACACACACACATATATATATATATACACATATTTCTATTTCAAAATCGATCAGATTTCTTTCTTTTTAAATCCAATTAAAATATGGCAAACAAGTGGATTCCGAAGCTTAATATCAAATAAAAACCCCCAACATAAAAAACTATGTATGTTTTTCTATTTCGAAATCGATTAGATCTCCTTTTAAAAATTAAAAATAATATGGCCAAAAAATTGGATGTCGAAGCTTTTCCCTTATATTAAACCCTAATATCATGTTGTTTTTTTTCCTGTTTCAAAATCGATTAGATTTCCTTTTGAAATCTAATGAAAACAAAAAATTAATTTTGAAGCTTTCCCCTAATATCAAATTAAAATCCAATTATTAAAATATGTTCAAAAAGTGGATTTCGATGCTTCCCCTAATCTTGCATGAAAAATTCCAATATAAAAAACTAAATTTGTTCTATTTCAGAATCGATTAGATTTCCTTGTGAATTCAAATTAAGATATTGCCAGAAATTGGATTTCGAAGCTTTCCCCTCATATTAAACCCTCATATCAAAGACTATTTTTTCTATATCAAAATTCATTAGATTTCCTTTTGAAATCTAATTAGAATATGGTCAAAAATTGGATTTTGAAGTTTTCCCCTAATATTACATTAAAAAACCCTAATATAAAATATTATTTTTTCATTTTTGAAATCGATTCGATTTCCTTTTAAATTGTAGTAACAAAAATAAAAACAAAAACCGGATTTCGAAATGTTTCCTCTAGTATTAAATTACCAGCCCTAATATATTTAAAAAAAAACGTTTCAAAATCGATTAGTTTTCTGTTTAACATATAATTAAGATATTGCTAAAAATTGGATTTCGAAGTTTTCCCCTAAGATTAAATTAAAAACACTAATAAAAAAAACTATGTTTTTTCGATTTCAAGAATCGGTTAGATTTCCTTTTGACATCCAGCAAAAATATTGCCATGAAATGCCAAAAAGTGGATTTCGAAGTTTTCCCCCAATATTATATAAACGTTGTAATATAAAATACTTATTTTTTCGACCTTAAAAGACCCTAGTTTAAAAAATCACCGGGGCTGACTAGTTTTTATTTTTTGGTGGTGAAATCCTGAAATGGGACCTTCATGTTTAATTTGTTTTTGAAAAGGTATCAATTAAAAGTCAAACTGGCCAGCCTTAAATTTCCCAAAATTTAACGCGGACCCTAGTAAAAGGAATCAATGTAATATTTTAGTATTTAGGGTACGTTTAGTAAAAGGAGGTGGGGATTAGTAAGGTTTTCAATTTAATATAAGGGGAAGCTTCGAAATCCAATTTGGCAAGATTTGAGTTAGATTTTGAATAGGAATTCAATCGGTTTTGAAATATAAAGTTCATTTTTTAAAACGAATGTTTTCAATTTAATGTCAGGGGGAAGCTTCGGAATCCAATTTTGGCAATATTTTAGTTAGATGTTATTTAAAAAATGTTTTCCAATTTAGTTTTTTTTAACCAAGGGGGAAGTTTCGCACCCTCATACTAAATACCCACTAAATACAAAAACCTATTCCGTGTGTTCATTATTGGGTGGGGAGGGGCAGACGGTTTATTATGACGCAGGGATTGGTCAGGCATCACTTTCTGGAATTATTGGATTCTTTTGGGATGATTGGTATGATGTTTAGTCAGGCATGGTTCCCTTCAGTCATGCACGATTTTTGCAAAAATCCTATTTAGGCACGACCCCAAAATCCCAGCCCGGCAAATTCCGGCCCTGCGTTTTTCCAAAATCAGGCAAAACCAGTAAATCAGGTATTAAGTCAGGTGTAGTTACCTTTTAAGTCATTAAGGCTAGTCAGGCATGGTTCCAGTGGGTACCTTTTAATTGTGAAGGCTAGTCAGGCATGGTTCCCTGAATTCAGGGGCATGGGTACCTTTTAATTATGAAGGCTAGTCAGGCATGGGTTCTGTTAAGTCAGGCGTGGGTGGGTACCTCTTAATTATGAAGGCTAGTCAGGCATGGTTCCCTTAAGTCGGGTGTGGTTACGCTTTAAGTCATGAAGGCTAGTCAGGCATGGGTACCTTTTAAGTGATGAAATCTGAATCAGGCGGAGCTCCTATTCTAAATGTGTTAAATCCAATTGTTCAGTGTGGAAAATCGATTTTTTGGCTGGTCTACGGGCAAACCCTGTGTCTTCCAATACCATAGCGTGCTGATGTCGCTTGCCTGCATAATAGTTAAGGCCAAAGCTTAGGTCATCAGTGTGATCCTGAAATGGCGCCACGACCAAGATGACATGTGTAAAATGGGCCCTGGATTAACAAAGGCTGACTAATGAATTTGGAGGATGCCACTAAAGTATGACATGTAATCACTTTTGAGGAGCACTCTATGGCACGCAGCGCGCGCAGCCTGCTTTATGGTTTAGCGTTTGAAAGTTTTAGGCTTTGCCTCTATGGCACGCAGCGTTTGAAAGTTTAACCGTTTACCTCTATGGCAGGCTGTGCGCGCAGTACGCGTTACGGTTTAAAGTTTGAAAATTTTAGGGTTTATGTGTGTGGCACGCAGTGCGCGCAGCGCGCATTAGGGTTTAGGGTTTGGAAGTTTTATAGTTTATTTTATTGCATGCAGCGTGCACAGCGTGGGTTGAACTTTAGGGTTTCGAAGTTTTAGGGTTAATTTCATGACACGATGGTTTAGGGTTTGGAGATTTTAAGGGGTACTTCTATGGCACACAGCGCGCGCAGCGCGCGTTAGGGTTTAGGGTTTAGGGGTTTGGAAATTTTAGGGTTTACCTCTATGACACGAGAGTTTCAGGTTTGAAGATTTTAGGGTTTATTTCTATTGCACAAAGCGCGCGCAGCACGCATTAGTGTTTAGGGTTTGAAGGTTTTAGGGTTTATCTCTGGCACGCAGCGCGCACAGCACGCATTAGGGTTTAGGGTTTGGAAGTTTTAGGGTTTATTTTATTGCATGCAGCGCGCACACCGCGGGTTAAACTTTAGGGTTTGGAAGTTGCATAACACGATGGTTTAGGGTTTGGAAATTTTAGGGTTTACTTCTCTGGGACACAGCGCGCGCACCGCGCATTAGGGTTTAGGGTTTGGAAGTTTTAGGGTTTACTTTATTGCATGCAGCGCGCGCAGCGCGCATAGAGTTTAGGGTTTGGAAGTTTTAGGGTTTCAAGGGTTCCAGGGTACCAGGGTCCCACGGTTTCAGGGTTCCAAGGTTTCCAGGGTTCCAAGGGTTCCAAAGGGTTCCAGGGTTTCAGGGTTCCAGGATCCCAGCAGGGTGCCAGGTGTGCAGGGTTGCAGGGTTCCAAGGTTCCAGGGTTCCAAGGTAGCAGGGTTCCAGAATCCTTGAGGGTTCCTGGGTGCCAAGGTTCCAAGGTTTCAGGGTTCCACGGTCGCAGGGTTCCAAGGTTCCAGGGTTTCAGGGTTCCAGGGTTCCGGGGTTCCAGGGTTCCAGGGTTCCGGGGTTCCAAGGTTTCAGGGTTCCAGGGTTCCAGGGTTCCAGGGTACCAGGGTCCCACGGTTTCAGGGTTCCAAGGTTCCAAGGTTTCCAGGGCTCCAAGGGTTCCAAGGGTTCCAGGGTTTCAGGGTTCCAGGATCCCAGCAGGGTGCCAGGTGTGCAGGGTTGCAGGGTTCCAAGGTTCCAGGGTTCCAAGGTTGCAGGGTTCCAGAATCCTTGAGGGTTCCAGGGTGCCAAGGTTCCAAGGTTTCAGGGTTTGACGGTCGGAGGGTTTGAACGTTTGAGGGTTTCAGGGTTCCAGGGTTCCGGGGTTCCAGGGTTCCAGGGTTCCGGGGTTCCAAGGTTTCAGGGTTCCAGGGTTCCAGGGTTCCAGGGTTCCGGGGTTCCGGGGTTCCAAGGTTTCAGGGTTCCAGGGTTCCAGGGTTCCAGGGTTCCGGGGTTCCAAGGTTTCAGGGTTCCAGGGTTCCAGGGTTCCAGGGTTCCGGGGTTCCAAGGTTTCAGGGTTCCAGGGTTCCAGGGTTCCAGGGTTCCAGGGTTCCATTCCGGATTTTGAAGGCTGCAAGTCCCCGCGAGCCAGCCCCAGCCCTAGAGATTGAAACCCAACAGGCCCTGCTCTTGGGAATTAGCCATAGGTTACCCAGAAAGAGTACCATAGACTATCATAATATGACATATATGAATGCTACTAACTAGTATTCTTAGTTGGATACCTTATAGATGTAGAAACCACCATAATCATATCAGAAAGATTAGCCATATAAAGTACCATAGACCCATGGGTTGAGCATCAAACTCCATTGGGCCATCGAGGCTGGCCTCGCGCCTCGGTATCTTGCTCCTGAGCTGTACGTTGATGGCCTGCCTGGCGCGCGCGGAGCGCCTGGATGCCTTCATTCGCACTGGTGCGGGCAGAAACAAGGGAAACGATGCATTGGTTGAAGGGAAAAACAAGGGAAACCATGGATTATAATGATTATATCCTTTGGGAATCAAACGTAGCTATGGAAATGACACATTTATAGTTGATTCACATAGAAACCATGGATTCTATCATGGATTTTCATGTGAAATACGATGAAATATGATGTGTGTTTTTTTGGGGTGTCAAGTGTCCCTACCATAACCAATCCAAAATTGACTTCATCAACATACCGAAATCCTGGGTCATGGGTCGTGGGTCATGTCACCATGTTTTTGTTTTCTCATTTTTCAAAAGGGAGCGAATGTTAACAAGATAAAAGGGCTATGTGGATGTGAAAAGAAGGGGACTACAGCTGTTTGGCTGTTTGGTATATTCCCATTTTCACATACCGTGTGGTAATATGACCTAACACTGGAAAAACATATATATATATATGTGTGTGTGTGTTCCTTTTCTTTTACAACTCATATCAACTCATCATTTCTTGCCAGGCATCATTTCTCATCATTGGGTGTTCCCACAAGTTGCAGGTTCCTCGTAATACTGCACAAGTACGAAGGAGGAGACCATTACATACGGAGTGGTGCCCCCCAGTGATGTTTGTCGGTTTCTGTTGCCCCATGAATACTAGTTACTACATCATCATTAATAAAGGTTTGGAAATCTATAGAAAAGCAGGGTTTTCACTTCACCGGTTTTTACTACTAAACAAAGGTGTTTCCTGCAGTTTGTTTTAACTAATCCATTGACATCGATGGTAAAGTTCACCGTTCCGTGGAGGATACACCGGGCTCCACTTCGTGCTACCGTCCTTGTCCTTCTACGCACTGGCGCTCAGCCAGTGTAGCTGGGCCGGGCGAAGAGTGCCCCCCCTAGTTGGGTTCATTGGTTATATGTCGGAACTAGAACCTAGTGCTAACTATAGATACTTATAGTATGTTGATATATCTTTATAGATAATTGGGTAACATTCTAACATTCATTGCAGTTAGTGCATTGGAACTATGTGTTTTATTTCTAGATGATATAGTAACTACAAGTAGTACCCGGGCAAGCCGGGGGCGGAAGTTTCAAATTTGAAACGCATATAGCCTATAGAGCGGAGCAAAGACTGCCTATAGGTTGCTGGCAAACACTCTGTGCTTCGCCGCATCAAGCTCTTGCAGAAGCTTTTACACAGAGACAGGGAAGCTTTTACACAGAGACAGGGAAGCTTGTACACAGAGACAGGGAAGCTTTTATTCACAACAAGCTTTTACACAGAGCATGCTTTCACACACAGCAAGCTCTTACACACAGCAAGCTTTTACACAGAAGCTTTTGCACACAGCAAGCTTTCGCACAGAGAAGCCCTTGCACAGAGAAAAGCATTTACACAGAGAAGCTGTTTACACAGAGTAGTCTTTACACAGCGAAGATTTTACATACAAAAGCTTTTACACAGAGAAGCTTTTACATAGAAAAGCTTTTACACAGAAAAACTTTTACACACAGAAGCTTTTACACACAGAGAGCCTATACACACAGCAAGCCCTTACATTGAGAAGCTTTTACACACAGCGAGCTTTTACACAGAGAAACTTTTACACACAGAAGCTTTTACACAAAGAAGCTTTTACACAGAGCAAGCTTTTACACACAGAAGATTTTACACACAGCAAGCTTTTACACAGAGAAGCTTTTACACAGAAGAGCTTTTACACAAAAGAGCTTTTACACACAGCAAGCTTTTACACAGGTGCTGGTGATTTTCCTTTCAAAAAATCCATTGAAAAAGTGCTGTGCTTCAAAATAGTGTTTTTCCTCTTTGGCGCCGAGATCCGGTTTCGAGCTGCAATTTCTTGCACCGTTGTGCGAAAAGGCTTGTGTGTAAAAGCTTCTCTGTGTAAAGGTTTTTGTGTGTAAAAGCATCTCTGTGTAAAGCTTTCTCTGTGTAATAGATTCTTTGTGTAAAAGCTTGCTAAAGGCATCTCTGTGTAAAAGCTTCTGTGTGTGAAAGCTTCTCCGTGTAACTGCTTCTCTGCGTGAAAGCTTGCTGTGAATTGAGAAAATCTGTTGACAAATCATTATATCGCAACCTCGATGCAGCCACTCCACTACGATTTACGATGTCCAGCTGCAAAAGACAATAGCATTACGCACGCAGGCGCGGCGCCAAGCAACCTTGACGCAGCCATTACATTGCGATCCGCAGATACTGCGTTGCAAAACACAAAAAAACTACGCACAAGAACGTCACACTTGCAACTGAGTTGCAAAACACACTAGAACTACGCACAACGGCGTCAGAAATTGCAGCTCCAAAACCGGATCTCGATGCCAAAGCAATAAAAAGACGATTTTGAAGCACTTTTTCATTGAATTTTTAAAGGAAAATCACCAGCACCAAAATTGAGAAAATCTGCTGACAAATCACTATGGCAGCCTTGATGCAGCCACCCCACTGCGGCGCCAAGCAACCTTGACGCAGCCATTACAATCCGATCTGCAAAGACTGAGTTGCAAAACACAATAGAACTACGCGCAAGAACGTCGGCAAAACAACGCCGGAACTGTCAGTTCCACAGCGCGGCCGATCCGACCATGATCCCAGTACAAACGAACCTGTTCCGCAACCGCCCGCCGGAAAAGCTTCCCCATCCATTTGCCCCACGTTTTGTCCTGCAAAACACAACATTTCGTGCATCCCAATTTAAACGAATTCCGTGCGAGATGTCCCCAAAAAGTGAAAGCGCAAGATGTGAAAACGAAGCTTTCGTGCGAGATGTGCCTCAAAAAATAAAGATGAAGATGTGAAACGAAGCTTTCGTGCGAGATGTGCCTCAAAAAATAAAAGTTGAAGATGTGAAAACAAAGCTTTTGTGCGAGACGTCCCTCAAAAAGTGAAAGTGGAAGATTTGAAAACTAAGCTTTCGTGCGAGACGTCCTTCAAAAAGTGAAAGGGGAAGATGTGAAAACGAAGCTTTCATGCAAGACCTCCCTTCAAAAAGTGAAAGTTGAAGATGTGAAAACGAAGCTTTCTCGCGAGACGCCCCTCAAAGAGTGAAAGTGGAAGATGTGAAAACGAAGCTTCCGTGCGAGACTTCCACTTCCCATCCCTGTGCTTTGATTTCCCTTTGCTTTGACATCCCTTTGCTTTGACATCCCTTCGCTTTGACATTCCTTTGCTTTGACATCCCTTTGCTTTGACATCCCTTTGCTTTGACACCCCTTTGCTTTGGCATCCCTTTGCCTTGACATCTCTTTGCTCTGACATCCTTTTGCTCTGACATCTGACATCCCTTTGCTCTGACATCTCTTTGCTTTGACATCTTTTTGCTGTTGCATCCCTTTCCTTTGACATCCCTTTGCTTTGACATCTTTTTGCTGTTGCATCCCTTTTTCTTTGACATCCCTTTGCTTTGACATCTCTTTGCTTTGACATCCCTTTGCTTTGACAGATCTTTGCTTTGACATCTCTTTGCTTTGGCATCCCTTTGCTCTGACATCCCTGTTCTGTGACATTCTAAAGACCCGTAAGACGGAAGTTAGACCGTCAAACCTCTTTTGATAAGTTAACATTGAATTGCAAATCAATATTTTTTTAAAGTATATTATTTATACTATCTGCTAGGTGCATTGATAACTATAGATAATATATGTATATTGTATCTATTACAGAAAAATTGATCATGTTACCCCCAGTATATAGAGAATAATCCCTAATACTAAACACCCCTAGTAATAAGAGCTACTCCATGTGTTTATTGTTGGGGGATGGGGGAGGGGGAGGGGGTTCGTATTAAACACCAACAATGATGTAGCTCCACCAACAATGACCTATGACAAATACACCAAAAATCCCGAAGTGTTCCTTTTCTTCAGTAAGGTGCAACGCCAAGATTGATCGATCGTAAATCCTGGTTATGGAGCATCACCTTGCAGAATTTGTTCACCGCCAGTCATATGCGAAATATCCGCATTTGTATATTGTATATGGCCTATGTATAATGTATTGTTATGATCAACGTACTAAGTGGGATGCACCCTGAAGTCAAAAAGCCGTGTTTTTGCTACCTGGGTATCTAAATTATCTAGATTATCAGATTATCCACAAGTACTTTTCCATTTGAAGGTTTGTCGTTGCTTGAACTGCTGGCGAGATTATCACGCATGGTCATCCCATCCCCTTAATCTTAAACACTGTCTAGGAGTCTAGATGGTCCCAAGTATATGTAAACCTCTACGAAACCATGGTTTCTGGGGCACTTTGTGTTTAGTGAGTATACAAGTACATACCTTCTGGCAAACCATAACTATGGACACTTACCATTTTTGATAGGTACTGTAGGTCATCAAACTAAACAGGCTATGGTTTCCATAGCTTTGTTAGTTTACTGGAGTCCACTCCCTAAGTAGATAGAATATGAGATGTTCAAAGGTATTCCCATTTTCGGTGGATTTTTTGA